ATATTACAGTGTTTGCATCTGATATCAGGGAGCATTCATTATTAGAATAACTAATATCTGTGCTAAGCATTAATTCACTTTTTGTTAAAGCTTTTAAGCATTCCCAACACAAAGTATCATCCTTTTTACCACAGATATTTCTATTTAGCGGCATGCTTGACAATTGAACAGAAACATCTTATTTACAGAGCCTCCCCCTTTTTATTATTCATCTCTGCATGGAGTTAAGTCTATAGTTTTAGTTGTATACAACTTTTATTTATTTTGGTACCTGAAAGTAAATGAGATAGTCTTCAGAGAAGTCATAAAGTAGTTGGGCTCTCTGACAATTTCGGTCTTTACTTTCTGACCCTAAAGCAATTGAACTTTGGAATACTAGCTATCAAGTCAATAATAGTGAGGTGGGGATAAAAATTGCAAAAAAGAAAAATAATTTACAGAGTTCTTTTTAACATTTTATTTAAATCTTATGGTAACTCTGTGAGGCTACACACAATCCATGCATAACCTTAATTTTTAAGTATTTATTGATTTGATTAAGATTATATATTTTAGTAAAAAGAACATCCATGAACCCACTATTCAGCCTAATTTATTTCTGCTGCTCCTCTGCTATCTTGTTGTCTTCTCAACAAAGGAAACCACTGTCCCAAACTTTATATTTGTCATTCTCTTCTTTTGTTTTATCACATGTGTTTTTCATTTTTTGCTATTACCCAAGCCTCAAATTCTTTATTGGTAAAACCTATGTTACAGGATTGTTTTGAAATTAAGTCAGAATATGTATATAATGAGCTTTGCACAGTGCCTGCCCCTCCCCAAATGCTCAGTAAATGGTAGCTGCAATTGTATTATTAATGTTATTTTGCTGAGAGAGAACAAGAAAAGCATACTTTTCTTAGCTGTTTTCTTTGTTTTATCTCCCTGGACTCTTCCGAGGGAAAATGAAGGAATATGGGGGTTTCAGGTCCTCTTTTCATCGTTTCCTGGAACTGAGCAACGTGCAGAATGAAGCAGTAGAGAATGGGATTTGGGCAGTCAGCAGTTAGGGAACACAGTTCCCAAATGAGAAAAAACTGCACTATCAGGTTACCAATTTTTCCCTTCTCTTTCACTGCCTTGTGCCCTCTGGATAGTATTTCTTTCAACTTTGAGTTTGGTGCAGTATAGTGAAACCTCCCTCATAGCCAGTGTTGAAGAATAAAGGACCAAGTTGACCCAGAAATAATCAGTGACAAAAATGGATCAATTAGAGTTTGCTGAATGATCAAGCAGACAAGCCAGCCAGTCAGCCCATTTTTACACTGTTCGCCTGCCCACCCAACATTGGGAAGCAGTAGTTCACTTTTAATATCTGAAAATGATTTCGTTCCTCCATTTCTTTCTTTCCCATAATTGTTCTAGGCTCTGCACTGTTGCATCAATGTTAGACAAATTCTTGCTCTGCTGAGTTTGTTCCCCTTTTTTGCCTAATTTCTTTTTTCATACCCTTATGATAGTAATTTATGTTAATAGAGTTATTTATTATAGTGCACTTGCTCTAATTCTACTACATAGATAGTTAAGCATAGTGGGATTTTGGTCAGCTAACATTCCTAGTGAACTATTAAGTAAGTTGATTAAACATTATTATTGCACAAATTATTAGCAACATTAGAGGAAAAATATGTGACAACAGTCACCCAACCCTGGTAGATCAATGATAGAATTCCGTAGAAAATAAAAGTAAAATCATTTCTAAATTTTAAAAAGAGTGACTACATTTAAGTACATTGCACAAGAACAATTTTTAAGAGCTGTTACATTAATCTTTATTAAATTTCACTTCATTCATTTGGACAGATATTCTAGGCTTTCATCATCTGTGATGGTTATGACATACAATATATTCCTCTTAAGCCTGTGTCATTCACAAATTCTATATCGTTGTTCAAGTTGTTTATATAGTAACCACCTCCCTCCAGGTTGAACCGCACATTTTGGGTGCTGTTACTTAGAGTTGTCTATTAAATCTACATTTCTTCATCTTATTCATAAGAACTTTGAAAGATTTTCATCAGACATTTTACTGAATTTACAATAACTATGCTTATAGCATTTTCCCGATCCTCTATTAGAAGAGCTTTAAAAACCAAATTAGATTAGTTTACAGCTTGGCCTTCTTCATAATTTCACTTTAACAGATAGAAGCTATGTGAAGAGATAGTTTTGTCCAAGAAGTTTATTAGGAACATTGAGTGACCTAGCTGGTTCTAGGCATTGCTCACTTGTACTTGTTTCTCTTTTTCTCTTTTTTTTTAAAAACAGCTTTATTGATGTATAATTTACATATCATAAAATTCACCCATTTAAAGTGTGTAAATTTAGTGGTTCTTGGTATATTTACAAAGGTGCATAACCATAATCTAATTTTAGAACATTTTACCACCCTAAAAAGAAACCTTGTAATCATTCTCTTCTTTAAAAAAAAAAAAATCTAGAAGTGATTTTACTTTTGTTTTTTAAGGAAGTCTTTCCTTGGGAAACTACCTTTCCATCAAGATTTTCCATTCTCATTTTTCATATTCTATGTTTATAAACCTAGAATTTCACCCCTCCCTTATCTATCTAACTGGTTTAAAAGATAACACACACACACAAAACAGACATGACAGCTTAACATGAGGTAGCTAGCCCTTTTTTAGGACTACTTGTCATTTTCATAGATTTAAAATACCTATGATCTTGTTCAGGAGGTTTTTCATTGGCTAATGGAAACTATGAAAGTGTTTAATTTGTATTGAATTTAAGATTAAATGACAGTAGTATTAACAGCATAATACATGTTCCTTTAATCTTTTTGTCTTACGAGAAGCAGATTTAAAGAGTAAAGACAGTATATGTGGTCAAGTTATATAGTTACAGCTTAGAGCTAATATCTTTGAGATAATGGGGTTAAAGAAGGGTTTAAATGAGGACTTAAAGTCTTAGGTTGTTTAAAGTATCAGAGCCAACCCAGTTCTGTCTGAAATCAGAGCCTGTGATGGTAATCACTGTATTAACTGCTGCTTCCTTTGGATAAGTATGATAAAACTGACTTCTTCAATTTCCAAACACTTGAGTCAGTTAATCAGAAAATAACTTTGATAAAGAAATGAATCTATGCTTTCTACACGTTCCACTTGACCTTTCATGTTACTTCCATTTGTTTTAGAGGGCAGGCTGTGGGGAGGGTTGCAATATAATAAGTTCTGTATTTAGTTACTTTTCAATGTATTTTTATTAACATTGCTTTTATACCTCTAATGTAAACTCAACTTTATACCCTTCTTGGGGAAAGGTAGAGTGTTTCAGTCCAAAGGGTTTGCTTTAATTTTATTTATTTAATAACCAGAGAAGTAGAGAAATAATCCCAACCAGTGAAACACTGTTAGTAATAGGGCTATTACCAGGATAAGTTTTTTCCCTTGACATAAATGAGTTTTGGTATATCCTTTTAAGCCAATTTTTATTTTCAAATTTCCTTTTTGTTTGGACAAAAAAAAGAGGACTCAAGTATGTTTCTTTTTTTATGTATAAGAATTCTTGTTTTCAACATGGATTGAGAAAGATAAGCATATTAAAATCAATATTCGATGACATGACATTTGTTTTAATTCTGTCCTCATATTATTTGAAAGTTGGAATTAATTTACTTAAGGCTTTTAACAACATTTTAACAAGCTGAAAACTTTTCAGTCAGGGCATTTTATATCCAGACAGATGTCTAATTTGCCAAATGCTTTGAAGATAAAAAATTCAAGTGTTAGGTAATAAAGTTTTTCAAATGAAACCTTTAAGTTGATTCTTTACTGTGAAAAAAGAGCATTTAGTAGTACAGCTTCTAATTTTAGCTTTCCTTCAGAACATTCTTCCTTATCCCTACCCACATCAAAGTTAGAATACATAGTTTAATGATTAACTGGGAGGATCACAGTATTTATGAATTCAGTAATCAGTCAACTAAAAATATTATTTGTTATGAAGGATAAAATGTCTTAGATGGCTACCTGTGGTTTTTTAATTAACTCATGCAAATAATTAATAATCTTTGATTGCTGGAATGTTAGGTTTCTTGGAATACTAGGCAAGTCCCTTAAACTCTGTGCCTTGGTTCTTTGAAAGTGGGCATATGATTCTATTTGGCCTTTTGAAGTTCCTTCCAACATTGATTCTCCTACCTTTAAAGGATATGTTGAGAATTATTTCTATCTAAAAACCATATAATAATAACTATAACAGAATTTTTAAACAGTAGTTATAAATTTAATTTTATGGATAGAGTATTATGAAAAATATTAAAAAGATACAGTATTCTTTAATTTGGGATACAAAAGTAATCATAATCTAATATAGGCAATAATGCTTTCTGATTTAAGAGTATCCTGTACTTGTACCTAGTTTCTAGAGTTGAAGGTTTCTCAGAGTAAGAAGTATTTTCTTGAGCCTTGACTTTTTTTAAGCTTCTTTAGGAGAGAAAAATACATTATGATAGCAAATTAAAATATTTGCTACAAGATGCTAGGTAAAAGAGCATGCATGACTAGAAGAATGGTCTAATTGGAGAAGGCAATTTAAAGCTGATAGACACTAGTATATGCTATCTCAATATGTGAAAGATAGTAAGTTACACTCATTATTACAAAGAGAGATCTTGGAACACCTTAGGTTATTTGACATTCTCTATTCTGTCTCGTTTAATCCAGTTTAAAATTTAATAACTTTCTAGAGACTGTCTTAAGCATAAGGGATAAAGCCAAGAAAACCAGGGGCAGAACTAATGGAAAATTTATTCTTCTGTTTAATAATATTATATAATAAAAGAAAAATATTTGCTAATAATTTTTTACAACTTTAATTATATGGAGCACGTGTGTGTGTGTGAATAATATAGTTCCGCAAGTGAAAAGACATATTTGTACTGATATATTCGGTTATTGACTTATACTCTTTTCAAATTTTTCTATCTTTTCCTCCCACAGAATCTGTCTATGATCTTCTCCCAAAGGAGTTACAGTTACCTCCATCTAGAGAAACATCTGTAGCATCAATGAGTCAGACAAGTGGTGGTGAGGCAGGCTCGCCTCCTCCAGCCGTAGTTGCTGCTGGTATGCATTTCATTTTACTTTATTAAAGAAAACTAGAATATTATCTGGCCAACATGAACAGTGCTGGCAAAGATCATATCAAAAAGAGTGTGATTTGAGGCTTGTTTTAGGTTTTAAAATATATACTTTTAAAATTTAAAAAATTCGATGTAATTTTATCGATATAATTATTATTTCTTAAAATTTCACATTGGCACACTTATTAATGCCATCTCCTAGAATGGACCTTGTCATCAACTATGGGAATGAGTTTGAAGCTCTTTTGTTGACTGCACATAAAGATGTTAAATACCAAGCTATGGGTAGAAAATTATATTTGTTAAATTACATTTAACAATTATTATTTTTATATTTGCTTTAAAAAAATATTTTACTTTGTATAATCTGAAAAAGGACTCAAGCACTCAAGTCTCTTTTCTGTTTATAGCATAACCTTTTCTCTACATTTTAAAATGACTTTATACTTAATTTTACATTCAGTTGAAAGTAATGGAAGATTTGAATGTAATATTTATATAAAGACTTTTATATCAATGAAAAAGTATGGAAACTAACATTTGAAATTTATCAAGTTTATTTTTACTCAGCTCTCAAATCATACACTTTATAAATGTATAATTATAATTATATAAAACTGGCTGAAATTTTGATTGAATTAGAATAAAAGATTGACAGACGCGGTGACAGAAAAAAGTCTTGATTCACGATAAATTAATAAGAATGCTTTAAAAAATATTAGATTACCCAACTGTACTCTTCTTTTAGTCGGGTTTATAGACTACTAAGTGTATTTGGTTTTAAAAAAAGGAAAAAAAATTATATATATACTCTGCAGTTTTATCTGTTTTAATAATTAGAGGTTTCTTGTCTAATCTGATACCTCTCATCTTTTTAAATGCTACTTAAAGTTCATTGGAGCATTGTTTTTACTAAATTCTTTTTGTTTCAAAAAGAACAGTGAAGTGGAAGGTTGTGATTTAAATGAGGATATTGGTACTATAGTAGAACCTCGGATATTTTTCTTGTATATGTTAATCTATGTACCATTACCTTATGTACCAATCTTTCCTCTGAGCTGTACAGTACAATTTTACTGCCTTCCTAATTGAGGGCAGGAAAACTTTAAACATGGCAAAGAACCTTATCAGCCCTGCTCACTGTTCATGTGGATTGCCAGACAGTTTCTAACCAATTCTGTGGATTTAAGTGTGAACTTTCTAGTAAAGAAATTGGCAAGATGATCTGGTTTCATTCTACATCTACTGGGTTGGTAAAATATCCCTGAATATTTTTTCTGGAATTTAAAGCTTTAGGCTAGTTTAAACTTTGTATCAGATAATAAAATGTATTTTTAAAAATTTTTTAATGAAATATTTCACTTTAAATCCACAGGTAGAAATTGACTAACCAATTTCTTTTGTATCTTTTGAGATTGTTTTTTCAAGACATGTTGAATCTATATAGAACTAAAAGTCTGTTTCTTCTGTGCTTTTTAACCTCTGTTGACAGTAAATTCAGTTTCTTTTACAAGCTGAAAAAATGTTAGCTAGGTTTGGGAAAAAACAACACTTCCTTTTAAATAATACCAAACTGAATTTCAGAAATTTTTATATATAAATATTGAAAGTTTTTAATTTAGGTCACTAATGGAATGTTGATTCTCTCTTTCTCCCTTTCTCCCTCCCTCTATATATTTGAGAAAATCCTTTCCAGATAAATTAGATCGAAAGCTGTCAGTTGAAACTCATGAAAATAAAAGAATTAACCCAGGAAATATTCTGAAATATTATGTTTGTATTAGATCGAGAAATTATTGACTTTGGAATGATGGTGAGAAAAGTAAGGAGATACCCTTGACTGTTTTCTTATATTCACACATAAAAAGTTTCTGTGATCTAAAACCAAGTCATTTGAATTTTTTTTAACATAAATTTGCTTTTAATAAGCAACATAGTCTTATTCTAGGATTCTAATGTCTTATTGGTAGTCTTTTTATATAATATTATAGGTGAGAGTTTAAATTACATAATAATTATTATAGGGAGATCAGTTAGTATATATCATCAGAGTTGCTTTTTTACTTGACATATTAATATCCTTAGTGACATAACTGTCAAAAGAAAGAGATTTAGAGTACATTACCAGTTATCAGTGTTTTCTGGCCAAAAGACTAGATGTCTAGGGAAAGGCATGTTAGTTTAGGCTTCTGTGAGTTTTTTTTTAATTTATAGCATTTGCTGTTTAAGTGTGAAATGCATAAAAATGATGACTCTTGATGTAGTTAATTCTTCAGAGTTTTGAAGGAGCCGGATTGGCTGCTATCAGGTATGAGGGCCTGGTGGGAACAGACTTCTAGTTCTGCCATAAAGGTTTGTGTTTCACAAGTTCTAAATCAATTTAAATTTTAAAATTTAGAGGCTGGGCATGTAGGTGTTCATGTACATTCTTTATTATTTAATTATTAAAATGTGTTTCTCAGATTCACCAATCTAGATATTTTACCTTTACTTATTATTGAGAGAATGAATAAACATGATGCTGCTAATCCACATTCCAGAATATTGAGCAAAAGAGTGTCTCTCAAATATTTTTCTGCCTCTACACTACTTACACTTTTATATACTCCCATCAGTAACATCTTTTTATCCAGTAAATCCCAGGGTTGAGGATGAGAGAAAGATGATTTACTTCTATACAGTTCCTCCCCATTCTGTAGGGTCAAATGTCAAAATCTGGGAGGTATAGTTGAGAATCACCAGTCTGAATTTTGTACTCCTCCCCATTTTTTAAAGACCTCTGTTTTTGTCCTACCGGAAAAGTAGTTAAGAGTTTGAAATTCAGTATGTGAGTGAATAAAAGTTTTAGAACTACAGACTTTCTGAACAGTACTGTTGTAGGTTCTCAGTAGTTAAGCCAGAGGCCATTTTCCTGATACAAAACAAGTTATCCAAATGAATTGCTAGCGGTTTTTGGCAAAATAAGGAGTTGATCACGAAGAAATGCAAATTGTGAAAGGCATCTTTTTTTGTCATAGTATAGATTATAAAACATAAGCATTTTTACAGGTAAAATTTAAGTATTTAGGAGAAATAAAACAGTTAACCAGAATTTGGGGTTTCTGAAAAGACACATGGAAGGTATTTTTCTTAACAGCTTTATTGAGATATAGTTAACATACCAGTTAAATATATATTTAAATCTACTTGTATGTTTATCTTTTATCTTTAGATTTCTTTTATTTATAATAGGAAGTCTTTGACAGAAGAGGACAATAAATTTTAATCATTTTTAAAAGCCAAACTATTTTCTTTTTCTATTCTAGACTCTATTTGTCTTCATTTTGGGATATGGCATTATGTTTATTAGTTTATATCAAAATATGATTTTGCTAAGGTGACTGTTTCAAGTTTCTTTTAAATTTTTTTTTAATTTTTGAGTAAACGAATTAATCAAACCATACATTTTATAACTCAGTGAGAGAATCTTAAGAATAATTAGGTAGTAATTCTTTTGTTGTTTTCATAAAATTGTTATTTTTACTTCTAGAAATTATATATTAGTACTCTTTTTAGAGGTAACCTATTTTCAGTACACTAATACTTTGTGGCAATTTTTAACATGTATAGGGATATATACCCATAAAGCATGTATGATAGAAATCTCCATTGAATATCTCCACTACTTTGATCACTGAAAGTTTTTAAGGCTGTAATTTACATTAACAACTTTACATGAAGTGAGCCATCTAATAAAGTTTTCTTTTAGTAGAGACTTATTAAATAGTGCTTTGAATTCTGTGCCCCAGCAATTAATAAATCTCAGTTACCTAACAGGTATTTTCTATGATGAAAGAACTTGAGTGCAATTTACACTATAGGAGAACACACTCAAGAACTAAATTAATGTTCTGTAATCAAAAAACTGCTATGCTTTTTGTTCATTTCAGACACCTGAATTAAAATTTTAGGAATTTCTAAACCATCCATAACAACAAAACTGTACAAAAATTGAGTTGAAGAAAATACCAGTTCTCATTTTTGAGTTCCTGCTTTGTGACAGGAATTGTGCTAAGCAGTTTGCATGTCATTATATCTCAATCCTTCCAAACACAGTATACCTCTCTTCTTTTCTCCTGGGGTCTGTGTTTTGCTCCTTGCCATTGTTCATTAGGGAATTTAGCATTGTGTGCTATCACTTTAATTAGGGAAAACAAGATTTTGGAAGGCAGTGTGTAGGACATTAAATTGAAAAAAAAAAAACATATATTCCTCCTCTTCAAGTTTCAGGATCTACAAAATGGGAATATGATTTCTAGAAGAATATTAATTTTTAATAGAAGTGATTCACAGCAACAGAATTACATAGCCCACTGAATTTATTACAACTTAAATTTATTAGTATTAGAAACTATTTACAGTTATGTAATTTGGACTTCCTTGTGGACAAAATTTGGGGAGTAAATTTCCCTTTGATTCCTCTCCTGTGTTAACAAGGTTAACATATTTCAAAATTTTGGCAATTTATGCAGTATACTATTCTTAAGATTATGGTAAACCCAAAGCCCATTAACAGGAAAGGTGATTCACCTGTGTAACCTATATATTGAAGTTGTGAGCTAAAAGGTGAGTTGATCTTGGTTACTCCCTATGGCCATTTCTACTTTTCCTAGAAAACCAGACCACTTCCAAGAAGGAAGGCAGATCCTAATTACAAACATGTTGCAAGTAGGTTTAAAAACTCTACTCCTCATTCTGTCTTTTTACTGATATTACATAATAAATCTAGATACATACATTCATATAAATTAAAATATGTTCATATGTATAGATTTATACTAATATCTGCATTATTAAAATGAAAAGCATAAGCAAACTTGGGCCATTACAGTTAATTTGGAAACAACTACCAGTTCAAGACGCTATCCATATTATAAATTATCATTGACAAAAAGTACACATGGCCTATTATTGATTTAATCTTTAAATGTTTCCCTTTTTATT